TGTGTGCGCGCGTGTGTGTGTGTTCATGAATGTGACTTTGAGAGACAGAATAAGCGATAAAGAAAGTGTGGATTTTTTGCCGTATTCTCCCCCTGACAGGGTCAAACCTCCGACCACACATCCATCCCATCCGATCACCGTCCATCCTCTGTGTACTGTAGTTACCATAGCAACCTCATCCTAACACCGTAAACCATTAGAGGACGTTTCTAGGGGACAAACAGCTCCTGGTTTATCTGCCTTGCTTAAGCAGTCAAACTCTCCAGGACCTGGTTTTCTCTACCAAAGCAGCTTCTTGCCCTCCATGCCTCGGCTACAGCAGCATACTGTTAACTACATGATTAATGGTCTCCATTAATGCGCTTATACACTTCCTGCAGCCAATAATCTATAATCCATAAACTGCTTTGTTAGTTGACTGATTGACGCACAATGATGAGATTTCAATGCTGATTGCGTAACAGCTACTGTGCTTGTTTAGTCTCAGAGGAAGTGAGAAGTGTGTTTGTTTAAAATTATGATTGACTTTAAAGGATAATGCTGGTGTTTTACTTTATATTTGTGCTGCTGGGTGTCAGCTAAGTTGCAGATTTTATCTTATTTCCCTCAAAGGAAGTGATCTCATTCTTGTTCAGAATAAAAAAGATAATAACTCACACAGCAAAATTAGATGTATAGTCTTCTGGGGAACATCTTGTTTTTTTTTTTACCAAAATATTTTTTGTGAAGTAGAAACACATCTACTTTTGATTATTTAAGAACGTGTAAATACAAAATGGGATCTTTTAAGTTCTGTCAAATTATCACAGTCTTTACCTGAAATTAGAATAACTAAACACAGTCAGAATTTTAATAACAAACTTTGGGATAAATTATGGTCACAACAGGCTATTTTAGGTTTAGTTTTAGCAACAAAAGTATGTTTGGGGACATGCAGTGCCAGAAAAAACACCATTTATGTTTTTTTGTTATTGACCTCTTTTATAACTGTAAAGAAAAGCCCCCAAAATAGAAGAGTCAATTAATCAAAGATGCAAAATGATTGTGGGAAGCTAGACCTAGAATATAGTACCTACATAATTAGAGTAGCTAAATGACACCAGTGGCCTCCTTTTATTCTGCTCTTCTTCTCTGAGACTAAATGACACAAAGTCCTCCTCAGCAGGAGCTGGCCACTCATCTTCAGTATGAATGTGTGCTCTCATACCATGATGCTAATGCTGAACTGATTGATTTTGCACTTAATATGAAGGTTATTGTCACTCACATGAGCTGAGAGAAAAAGAGGAGTGACAAAGCAAGAGTTGCAGAGTTAGCTGCAATTTGACGCCATTTTGTTACATCTCTTACTAGCTCTTAGCCAGTGTCTCGCACTCTTTCTTTCTCTTCTCATTGAGTGGAATAACCTATTTTTTAAGCACTTTTACATCGAAGCAATTATTTTGATATGCTTTTGCCTTAACTGAATGAGCCTTGAATTAATTGAATGGAACTGATTGCTGATTTGCTGATATCTGTTTGATGAAAAATAAATTATATTGCTTTATTGGCGCATGCAAATGACCCTGACTGGCTTTGTATGCTGCCATCTTCTCTCTCTCTCTCTTCTCGTCTCTCTCTCTCTGTCTCTCGCTCTCTCTATCTATCTCTCTCTCCCCATCCATCCACCCATCTCTCTGACCTCCCTTGTGCATGTGTATCTGTCCAGGTGAAAACAGCTGTGGAAGGGTTTATGACGCCGGAGAGGGAACGGGTGGGTAACTAACTTTTTTATCCACCAGCCAGTGTAATGAAGCTGGGATAGAATTTGTAGCTTTAGTGCTCAGGCAGCCCAGCTACTGGTGGATTCATAAAATATCCCTCAAGCAAAGCACACTGCTTGGAAACACATTAAATGGAAATAAAGGACTGCCGCCTGCAGTTTCAGATCGTAAAAACTTGATTCCAGATAGTAAAAAACTTGATTACATATCTCAAAAATGTCTTTATGACATTAAATTTATGTCATTAAATAAGCAAGTCAGAAAAATGCGTTATTAGTTATAAATTAATGAGAGTTAAACACTCAAAAACTCAATTGGTAAACAAGCCAACAAATGTCATCAGATTTAGATTCTAGTTTTCAGTTCTGATGAGTGCATGGACATTTTGTTAAAACAGAGTCGATGAGAAGAGCAAGACAAAGAAAAAAACATAAATATAGAAACTTTTTTGTGAAATAACAAATATTTCAGTGACTAATTGATTCATTGTTTGCAGAGTGAACACGTGATTACAAAAGTCTCTGTTGATCGAGAAAGTAAGATTGGTAGGCAGATCATTTCATTGGAAACTTGGGCTAGTAATTCTGGGAAATAAAGTCTTTTGTATTCTGAAAATAATTAGCTCACTGTCAATCATTTGTTCATGACGGAGCCGATGGAAGCCTCTCGCTCCCTGCATCTCAGGGATTCCACTCTGGCAGAGTCAGTCGATGATTGGCAGTCGAGTCTACCCGAGAGAAACCTTTTTGAAACGTCCAATCATCGGACAGCCGCAGCTGGTCATACTCTCCTCTTCCTACAATCAAAGCTGCTGAAACCTGGCGCATGTTCTCAAGCCCTGCCTCTGCTAAGTGCTTTTTAACCAGTGAGGGTTGGGGAGGGAGGGGGTGGGGCAATTGACATCATAAAACTGATCCCCAAACACAAAATTAAATTTATAACTTTTCTAATTCTGTTCATCATCCTCTAATTTGTTTTGAACTGCCCCCTTCATTGTGATGAATTTGCTACTAACGCCATTCAACCTCCAACACAATATAATTCTCACGGTTTAACTCAGATTAACCTCAGTGGAAGTCTTTCATTTGAGAGCAGTAATGGTATGAGTGGAGGCGACAGACAATCAATGTTGCAAAAGAAAAAGAATTTACTGTCTTCAGTGTTAAAAAGAGAAAGTTAAAGGAATATTGTGTATAGTATTCTAATTTTTAGTGTTGTTTTGGTAGCTGTCAAAATCCTAGAATAGGGTTAGGGTTAGGGAGCAATTCCTTATAAAGCATTATTTTTTGTGTGTACTTACTGTGATTCAGACCTGGGTCAAATACTATTTTTCAAACACCTATAACAGCATTTATCTTTCTCAGTCTCTGTGATTAGCTTTATCCTAACTGGGCAATTCAAGTACAAAAAGTTGTTTTTATGTTTTTATCTTTAAAGTGTTTGTAATTTTATTTGGACCAGGTCTGGTAGGACCTAGTAAGGTTTGTAGTTATGTCTTATATGGAAGGAATAAGTAGCTAATGTTTCTATTGTGTGCCCAAGTGTTCACTGTATATGTCTGTTAAAATATATGAAGTGTGATTACTAACCTCTATGTGACTGCTACCAGGCCAAGTGCTACCTTGCTCCATACCTGGCGAGGCTGGAGACCCCGGTTACCCTGGTGTTGCTGGAGGACCAGGTACAATTCAACAAGTGTTTTACAGTGATTGTAATTTTATTTTAATTTTTTTTGTTGCACTTTTGATGCACTAATTCTAAGTATTGTTTCATCTCATTTAAAAAAAATGTAAGGGTTAAGATTGTGCCTTAAACTTAGAAGATTTAGATTTTTTTTCTGCTCTGGAGAATATTGTTTAGTTTTATACATACACATATTTGTCCAAGGTTTTGTAGTTGTTCTGTCAATTTCTATTGCTTTGTTTATGTGCTTTTTGGGGAATAGGAAGGGCTTAAAGAACAGTCATGCTAATCTTGAATGGTAAAATGGTAAATAACCAAAAGGAACAGATTCATTTACGTGTGTGCCACTGAAAACATATTGTACCTGTACAATAACCTGGAAGGTTTTGATTTATGACTATTGCTTTCTAGTGATAATATTTGATTTTCTATAGCAGTTTTGTCTTTGTCTGTTCAGGCTACACAGTTCCTCTTCTATGTGTTACAAACAAACTGGATCAGTTCCTGTTCACCAGAGGATTTATAGACCAACAAATGTAAACTAGATTCACTTATAGGTTCAGTTACTATTGTATGGAAGCAGAAATGAGACATAAATATACTTGGAATGAGTATTAAAAAATACTCTTTCCTACAGCAGAGTGTCTGACAAACTCAATTTTATCCTAATGAATGATACTAATTGAAGTCATGTCTGTCTGCACCTGTCAGGTCCTAAAGGTCAGCCAGGTTTCCCAGGAGGTCCTGGGCGTCCAGGGTTTGACGGTGCCAAAGGAGAGAGAGGAGACCCCGGTTTTGGAGGCCAGCCTGGCCCACAAGGTAAACCAGCATGGTGGCCTGTGTCTGTAAATGATAAATGGTAAATGGACTGTAATTCTATAGTGCCTTCTTAGTCTCCGACCACTCAAAGCGCTTTTACACTATATGCCACATTCGCCCTTTCGCATACTGTACTAATTGTTATCCAGAGTGCAATCAGGGCCAGTACTTACTGCTGTTTCCTCCATGCAGGTTTCCCTGGACCCAGAGGGGACCCTGGAGTTCCAGGTTCTCCAGGACAGAGTTTTGACGGAGCCAAGGGGAATAATGGTGTTCCAGGGCGTCCTGGAGCCAAGGGCGAGCCTGGAGAGGTACTGGGTGCCACACCTGGAAGTCCAGGACGGGATGGTTTACCAGGAAGCCCTGGGGACAAGGGTCAGCCTGGGACACCAGGAGGCCCTGGATCACCTGGTGGGTCTGAGACAGAGAGATTCCAATTGTTACCTTCTTAAATCAGATGTTTCTATTGTTTGTTCCACCCCATTTATCAATGTGGGTTGGCTAAATAACAGAAACAACTGTGTGTAATGTAATACGGTTCAACAGCACCACGTTATAATCATTCATGAAGGGAGGATTTATGGCAGGACTTTATTAGACTGCATTCATTTTAGCTAGGTTTACCTAATAAACTGGCAACAAGTATTTGTATTAGAAGTTTTAGTAGAAGAAGTAGTGGAAGCGGCTGCTGTAACATCTGTGACCATTTCTTTCTTCTTCTGTCAGGTGGTGACGGTCGTTACGGGGTTCCTGGACTGAAGGGAGAGCGCGGAGTCGACGGCAATAATGGTATTCCCGGCGCTCCTGGACCTCCCGGCGAGCCGACTGGTGGCATCCCTGGTCGTCCTGGAAATCCTGGCAACCGGGGGCTGAGCGGATCACCAGGTGAGGGAAAAGATCCAGCAAGCGTGTTTCACCACATGGCTAACCGGACTTCTGTTTAATTTTGTAGAAATTTAGACTCCATGTTCTGTATTTGGAAAATCATGCATATATCTAGTTATTTGTAGCTTGATTTATAGTAAAAGAAGGAAAAACTATTATTTAGTTTAATCTTGGCTGTTGTTGTCTTTCACTACACAATTCCTTCACTTTTACCAGTGTTGGTTCATTCTTCCCTTCTTCTCACTGTATTTCTTTCACAATTCTCCATTTACGAATCAGACACCACAGTTGCCTGTTGTGTTCTTGTTGTTTATTTAAACTCTGCATCACCCAAAAGAATATCTTCTTCTCCTGTTTTGTGCTTCTCTTTGTCCTCTGTTCCTTCCTCCTTTCCTCTCTCCTTTCTACACACCACCACCATTATCTCCATCCATCCTCTCATCCCTCCATCCTTTTCTTGGTGTTGGGTCATTCGCTATAGGCTGCCAAGGTGAGACACTCTCTCCCCCATCCATCCGTCTATCCATCCATCCATCCACCCACCCTTTGCTTCCATCCCTCCATCCTCCTGCTATTCGTGCATTAGACCAAACGCTTGAACTGCAATGTTCCTCAAATTGTCTGCCTGCTCTCCTTTTCTCATCTGTACAGCCACGAAATGTCCATCTCCATCCATAATTTGATTAATTTTGCAGCCTGTCAGTGTTAGGGCTTGTTTTTCTGAACAGAAGGAAAATTATCATTGTTTATCATGAAAATACAGTAAAAATCAGTCAGGTTTTCCTTTCTGGAATCAGGTGAACGATTAACTTATTATGTGGAAGCTAATAGAGTTACGTTAATTTCAGGAATGTACACTTTGCTTTGCATATTGTAGTTCAGCTCATTGCTGAAAATAACTTGCATAAGATAATGAATCTGTCACAGTGAACACTTAGTCTTTGTTATTTGTTAATTAGACTGACAGTTAATATGCATTTGTGAGCAGAGAGTTCTTGATGGTTTCCTGATGTCCTTTGATTGGATCACATCTTTCTCAGCATATGGAGCTAACCAGGTGTAATGGAAATGTAGATTCAAATTTTTATTTCCAAGTAGTTTAAGGACTACTCATCCATGTTGACATAAAAGTTGAGATAGAAAGTTTCTAGGCTTGTTTCTAGGTGGTTAGTTGTTGCACTTGTGGAAAACCTGAGATTCTCGTGCATCAAACCACTGAAGTCACATGAACTTTCCTGGTGTTCGTGTTTGATTGTTCTTACAGGTTTTAACTTATTATTTAACGTAATGACCTTTGACAACTGACTCTTAAACCTTGAAAATAATTATTAAACTTAACTTGCAACAATATTCTAATTTCTTAAAAAAAGATAACGTTTCTTCCTCTCCTCCAGTAAATAGAGCAGAATGTGGGATCCTTGTTGTGTTACTCCAATCGGAATACAAGCTCAGCTAAAAACGTTTTCAAAGTTATATATTCATGTGTTTTAATGACTTGTGAAGCAAGTGATAATAACATTTGTGCATCACACTGACGAAGGGACTTACCCAATGGATTAAATAAATCCCTTAATGATGGCTTAGGGGGCGCCCGGTTAGCTCAGTCGGTAGAGTTGGTGACCCATATACAGAGTTGCTGCAGCGGCCCGCATTCGAATCTGACCTGCGCCGCTTCTTGCGTGTCATCACCTCTCTCTCTACCCCCCTTTCCTGTCTACAGGTGTCACTCTCTAATAAAGTCAACAAAAGGCCCAAAAAAATAACTTAAAAAAAGTGATTGCTTAGGATGGACATTTTGGCTGTGAGAGATTGAGAAACAGAAAGTTCTCTCAGTAAATGTGACTGCTGATGTTTGGCTTTGTTTTTGCAGCTGGTACTAACCCCTGCAGTCCAATTACATCTTGAAGTGTAATCTGTATTAGATGTGTTGCAATAAGGCTTGTGTGACAGCTCAAGTTTTTGGCGCAAATGCTGTTTTAACAATGTTGCTGCATCAATGACCATAGAGGCATTTTCTACACTCTTAAAAAGGACTTTTCAAGTCATCCCAGCCTTAGACAAATAGCCGCATGGATGTGTTGAAAATGGGTTCTCTTTTTAAGAATGTGAACAGTAGTATGCTATCTTGTAGGACAAACAAACATTAGGCGGTTGTACCTCGCTAATTTAATCTGGAATTGCACTTGAGTTTCTTATATCTTTTAATTAAATGGTGAAGATTTGATTAGATTAGAAAACGTTTGAACATTTTAAATCCCCACATATTAGGATGAAATTAGCCAGATTGTGCTTGTATCTGTTACCCAAGTGCAATTGCAGCCTAAATAAGACAATGAAACAATGTAATATAACACATGTGTTTACATTGTTGTCTACTGTCTCTACACCAAATTGTGTGTGTACGTGTGTGTCAGTGTGAATAGAAATAATTGACTGAATAAATCAAAAAATTATTTTATTGGGTTGGAGGTAAGTTCATTTTTCTTCATTTTATATATTGTGCGTTTGAATAAGTAAAATTTATATTCACGTCACGTTACTTTATATTTTTCTATTAAGACAGTGTTTTTTAGATAAAAATATATAGATTCTTGCCCATATTTCCTTTTAAAGTGTAGTTTATGACCAGTGTCTGACTAAATCTTGTCTTTCTTTTTCGCTGTCGATCATCCGTCAACCACCACCAGGTTTCCCTGGTCGCAAGGGAGAACGAGGAGACCCAGGTTTCCCAGGCCCTGCTGGAATGAAGGGAACCCCAGGACTGCCCGGCACCTCTGGAACACCCGGGCCAAGAGGACCCCCTGGACCTCCAGGACCAGGAACAAGAGACGGAATCCCAGGAGTACCAGGAAGAAAGGGTAGGCTGAAGCTACTCGTTATCATCATTCTTACTTCTAACATCTCCTTGCAGAGACAATAATATTCTGATTACCTGTGTCTTTCCACAGGTGAGAGGGGTTTCCCAGGACTTATAGGTTTCCCTGGACTGCCAGGACGCCCAGGAACCCCAGGGTTTCCTGGAGGGAAAGGACTGGCTGGAGATCCTGGAAGAGACGGACGCCCTAGCGGTCCTGGATACCCTGGACAGAAAGGTAGAGTATCATAGATCAAGGACAAGGCCAGAAGACAGTCGAGTAGAATCATCTTAGGCCTGTGAGTTACATTATCACCCACTTGATTTTACTTCTGTAGGTGACAGAGGTTACCCCGGTCTCCCCGGCCCGCCCGCTCCCCCTATTCGATCAGAGTTGGTAGAGAAAGGAGAACCCGGAACCCCCGGAAGCAGCGGCCTTCCTGGATTCCCCGGACCAAGAGGTAACAATACTTCCTGTTTTCCTATTAATAGGTGGAACCCAGACTGTGTATGTAAAACATGATATTGTGTTCAAGGCAGCCCAACAAAACGTTACTCATTACTCATAATTCAATCCTTCAGATTATCACAGGATAGATTTAGGTATATAATTTAAATATAGTGTATTTATTATGAGCTTCCGGAATTAACGCTAATAAAAGCACATTAGTATTAGCTTAGTTTATTTATCATATACTAGATTATTACTGATTACTGATATGCAAGCAGCACAGTATTAAATACTGTCATTGAAAAGTTTAATCTATAACAGTGTGTCATAATTTTTACTGAAATGTTACTTATACTAGAGTACCTAGTACTACCTTTAATTTTAACTCTTAGTTACAAATCTGTCATTTTCTGATGAGCTAAGTCTGATTTTTATACTCTGTGCCTGGTCTTAGGTGACAAGGGTGTGGCAGGTCTGCCCGGTCGTCAGGGTCTGCCTGGACTTCCTGGTTATGCTGAGCAGAGTAAAGGACAGCCGGGACAGCCTGGGTTTCCAGGGAGACCGGGATCTCCAGGCTTCCCTGGACCGAAGGGAGAAGCTGGAATCGTGGGTTTCCCCGGCACTTCTGGACCAAGGGTAAGAAAACACACACACACACACACACACACACACAGACACACACACAAACATAAACATGCTGCAAGTTCAGCCAATGAGATTCAAGTTTTGATGTCTTTCAGGGTGACGATGGCGCACCTGGTTTCCCTGGCAACCCTGGAGAATTTGGTCGGCCTGGTGGCAAAGGTGAGTGTTAACTAAATTTATATTTATGAATAATTTAATACATTAATCAGCCGCTGACTCACATGTTTTGTTCCTCAGGTCAACCCGGAGATACATTTGGTTATCCTGGAGCTCCAGGAGCTAAAGGCCAGCCAGGAGATCCAGGCTTCCCAGGTAAGACTGTTTTTTGGTAAAAGCAACCGCCTCTTACTCAAACATAAGTGTTCCTCTTGAGTGACCATCAGCAACTCCTTTAAACAGCTTTTACTGTTAGAAAAGATGGTTAAAACCCACAATCCACCATTTATGTATTCACATTTTTTCTACAAAACATAAAAAGTCTCGTATTCACACTTAAGTAGCTCCCAAACTCTGTCTGGATTTTGCAGCTTCCTGTTTCTTCTTTACAATGGATTCTTTTAATACATTTAAATAAATCCCCTGTTGTACCAGACTACAGTTTCGGTTTTACCCATTTCACAAGCAATTAAGCATTCCTTCAGTACTTCCAAAGAAATTTGATGGGTGCCTTCAACACAGGAAACACTTGTGGTATCCTGTAAAAATATAATTCCCAGTCTTACCTTTTTTTCAAATGCAGAGGTGACGTACAGAAAACTAATTTCTGTTTCTTTGAAATAAACTGAAGCACTATTGGATCATTTTTCTGCAAAACATAGTTCATGTTTGTGATACTAATGATCAGAATATTCCAATTCATATTTTGTCAAAGAGGTGATCTCCATCTCTTTAGATTTTTCCATCTTTTTAAAACATTGACACATCCTGAAGGATCTTACCTACCAGACTGATCTCTCTCTCCTCAGGTGGCCGTGGAAATGACGGTGCCCCCGGTGACAACGGCTTCCCAGGAGGTCCAGGTTTCTCTGGAGCGAAGGGAGCTCCTGGTGAAGGAGGACGGCCTGGAATAATGGGTGAGAGAGAGAGACAAAAGAATCTCTCATGACCAGTTTCCATATTTCCTTCAAGACACCAGAGAGTCACCATCAGATAGTAACATATTTGCCTTGTCTCCCCTCAGGCTCCCCTGGTTTCCCCGGGCCGAAGGGCCAGTCTGGCTACCCAGGAAGAAGAGGATCAGATGGTTCTCCTGGTCTGCCTGCAAGTCCTGGAAGTCCTGGAGCCAAAGGTGAGAGGCTTTTTGCTCACTTCATGTTTCCAAATGATTCAAGGTAACAGCAGGGTTGAAACTTTGTTGTTGTTTTGCAGGTTTGTCCGGTTCCCCTGGTTTGGATGGACTTAATGGCCTCCCTGGACCTAAAGGTCTCCCCGGAACCCCAGGTGAGGACTTCATTACACACACCAGTCTTTCTATGGTGACATGCTCAAGCCTACCTGACCACAGTATCATTAAAACAGTATTGCACACACTGTCTGCACGGTCCACAGGAAGCATGAAACAGCCCATGAGACAAAGCACAACCCACATAAACATAGAAAAGGACTATTGAAACCTGCCATAAGAAACAGCAGTGAAAGCAGTTTTCTATCTACTTTTCAGATGTTGAAGATGAACTGTTGACCATTTTGTTGTATTTGTATCCAGGTGTGAGTGCAGGAGGTCGTCCAGGTGCCCCTGGTATTCCAGGGTTGAAGGGAGAGAGAGGAGACTCCTACCCAGGAAGTCCAGGTTACCCCGGGCCAAAGGGAGAGAGAGGACTCTCAGGTGAGAAAGGCTTCAAGGGAACTAGAAATGCTGATTGAACGTAGATAAAATGTTATATATCAAATACATATAAATATAATATATATATTTGTTTTTGTGGCAGGTGCTCCTGGACTCACAGGGTTCCCTGGGCGGCCCGGACCTCCTGGTGAGACTATGGGATCAGATATTCCCGGACCTACTGGAGACCCTGGCCTCCCTGGACTGGATGGAGAGTATGGTAAATATATTCCCTCAATCCAGTTTCCTGTTTCCTCTTATATTGCCTTCCTTTCACTTTCCTTCTCCAAACCAAATTCCTTTCCTTTCCTTTCCTATGTTTTTTCCTTCCTTCCTTTCTTTTCCTTGTTCTGTTCTTCCTTTCTTCTTCTTTCCTTGCTATTTCCTATCATATGTCTTCATTCCCTTCTCTTTCTTTCCATTCCTTTCCTGTTTTCTTTCATTTCCTATTTCCTTTTCTTCCGTTCCGTCTCTCTCATTCCTTTAAACCTTTCCTTTCCTTTCCTTTTCTATCTTCTTTCCTGCATTTCCTTTCCTGTTTCCTTTTCTGTCTTCTGTCCTTTCTTTTCCCTTTTTTTCTATTCCTTTCCTATTTAATTTTCTTTCATTTCCTTTCCTTTTCTATCTTCTTTCCTGCATTTCCTTTCCTGTTTCCTTTTCTGTCTAATGTCCTTTCTTTCCCTTCTTTTCTATTCCTTTCCTATTTAATTTTCTTTCATGTCCTGTCTTTTTTATTCCCTTTCCTTTCCTTTCTTCAACCCAATTTCCTTTCCTGATTCCTTTTCTATGTTCTTTCCTTCCTTTATTTTCATTTCCTATGTCCCTTTCTTCCCTCATTTTCCTTTCTCCTTCTTATAAACCATTCCTTTCCTTTTGCTTTCTATGTTCTTTTACTCCTTTCCTTTCCTGTTTCCTTTCCTGTCCTATGTCCTTTTCCTCCCTCCTTCCCTCCCTCCCTTCCTTCCTTCCTTCCTCCTCTTTTCTTTTCCTCTTTTGTCCTTCTTCTAAACCTCCTCTCTCCTCCAGGTTTCCAAGGTCCTCCAGGTCCTCCCGGGCCACCTGGTCCAGGCACAGACCAGGGAGACAGAGGTGACCCAGGGCTCCCGGGCTTCCCTGGCTCCCCAGGCGGAAAAGGAGAACCAGGACGCCCCGGAGGATCTGGACTCCCCGGCAGCCCCGGTTTCAAAGGTGAAGTGGCTCTCAATAGATGCTTCTAACAAAAATATGACATGAGCCAAAATCTCAAACATTTCTTTGTGTTTCTAAAGAGAGAGAAAAAAATAAAACAATTTTTGCTTTTCAGGAGAACGAGGTGATACTGGCTACAGTGGAGGTCCTGGTCTCAAGGGTTTCACCGGTGAGCCTGGCTACTATGGAAACAAAGGACCAAAGGGAAGAGAAGGTAAGGACAACTTCAGTTTCCACAGGCAGAATTTCATAAGCGCATTTTGATGGTTCAGGAAATTAAGGCAGTTTACTCTGTTCCCCTCGTTTTCTACACTCACACATTCACCCTTTATTTTCCCTCCACTCTGTTTCTCCATCCTTTCCTCTCCAGGGCCTCCTGGTGCTAAAGGTCGTCCTGGAATCACAATGAGTTCACCACCGCAAGACTTCACACGTCAATTTGGAGATCCAGGTTTTCCCGGTGAAAACGGAGGCTCCGGTGTCCCTGGTGAACCCGGTCAGTTTGGACTGCCCGGACGTCCAGGTGAGTGGTTAAGAATAATAAATACGTTATGTAATCTTGCATCTAGGAAACAGCATACATTTGACTCTTTCCAAGACTTCGATGAGAGACTCCACTCTGTCTGAGGCTAGGGCCAGGCAGCCTCTAGGCCAGACAGTTAGCTTAGCTTAGTATAGAGGCTAAAACAAGGAGAAAAGGCTAGCCTGGCTGCTGTGCAAAGGTTAAAAAGAAATAATTTGAACTTCCTGAAGCTCAAGAAATCTGATTTTGTTATCCTAGTGGTACTGATCTTCTTGTCTAACGCTCCAAAAAATATATTTTTAACCAGTAAACAGTATTTCTTTTTTTTACAGTGTGAAGAACAAGCACAGGTTTCACATATAAAACAGTATATGTACTCCTGTGTGAATATATATAAAGGTCTTAATCTGGTGTATGGCAGAAACATAGTAAAGAGGAAATATAAAAATATAAATGAAAATACTTTCCTGCTGCAGGTCCTAAGGGTCGTCCCGGTCCTGTGGGCAAACTTGGCAGGACCGGATCATCTGGTCTCCCCGGAACTACCGGTGACCCCGGACCCCCTGGTTTCCCTGGACCCACTGGAGAACAAGGTCAGTAATCTGTCTGTGCTTTTCTCACTCTTTTCTCGCTGTATATCATCAGAAACAAACATAGCCTTACCTAAAAAACACTCTTGCCTTTAGACTTTTCAGACTTTCTCTCCATTCTAACATCCGTCTGAATTTCTCCTCGTTCCCTCCCCCTCAGGTCTCCCTGGCTCAGCCGGTCGTCCCGGCGCTCCCGGCAGCGTCGGCCGCAGTTACAGCATCGGCTACACTCTGGTGAAGCACAGCCAGGACTCCCAGGTTCCCATGTGTCCTCAGGGCATGGCCAAGCTGTGGGACGGATACAGTCTGCTGTACGTGGAGGGACAGGAGAAGGCACACAACCAGGACCTCGGTATGGGAACACTTTAATAACATGTTGTTACAGTGTTATCAAAGATTTTCAGCCTTTATATGTGCCCAAAGGGAAGCTGCTAAACATGGTTGAGAAACATTACTTTTAAAAGTAACTTCTTACAACTATTATTGACATTATTCAATAAGCATAATGTAGTGTGTTACCGTCCTCTCTTCTCTTTTTTTCTCCAGGTCAACCAGGGTCGTGTCTCCCTAGGTTCAGCACCATCCCCTTCCTCTACTGCTCCCCCAATGAGATCTGCTACTACGCCAGCCGCAACGACAAATCCTACTGGCTCTCCACAACTGCGTCCATACCCATGATGCCCGTGGCCGACCAGCAGATACAGCCTTACATCAGCAGGTACTGCACGCTCAGTGAAGTGTGAAGGTTTGGAGTTTGCATGTGAATATATATTTAACTGAGCTCTTTCCTTGCAGGTGTTCTGTATGTGAGGCTCCTTCTCAGGCCGTGGCGGTCCACAGTCAGGATTTGTCCATCCCCACCTGTCCCCCCGGCTGGAGGAGTCTCTGGATAGGATACTCCTTCCTCATGGTAAACTATTGACTATAAATAACAAGTTTCTCATAATAAGGCCTGCAAAAAAAAAAAAGAAAATGTGTGTGTTCTCACATTTGGTGTTGCAACAAATACCAATATATGCAGAGTGGTGTAACTGGGAGGTGTTAAACAGCTAAGTTAATGAAAGTGTTGTTATTGATGACATATGAAGGTATAAAACACTTGAAAAAAATATATAAAAATGAACCATTCAACACATTCCTGTCATTAAATTGAATGAAGGCTAAGCAGGGGTTTTATACCTGGAAGTTATTGTAAACTAATACTGTGATTGGTTCTTTAAAAAATAAAGAATGAACTCCATTTGAAATCTCTCCCTTGCAGCACACAGCAGCCGGCGCCGAGGGTGGCGGTCAGTCCCTGGTGTCTCCCGGCTCCTGCCTGGAGAATTTCCGCGCGACGCCGTTCATCGAGTGCAACGGGGCCAAGGGCACCTGTCACTATTTCGCCAACAAGTACAGCTTCTGGCTGACAACCGTGGATCCCAATCAGCAGTTTGTCTACTCGCCAGGACAGGAGACCCTGAAGGGAGGCCAGGAGCGCTCCAGAGTCAGCCGCTGCCAAGTCTGCAGCAAGCTCTTGTAGTAGGAGGAGGTGAATGGAGGGAGGTGATATATTAACACCTCAAAGGAAAATAAAAAAAGGAGGTGTTGAGGATGGAGGATGATTTACAAAGAAATCTATAAAAACAAGAACATGTGACTGACTGAAAATGAGCCCCTCTTCTGCTTCTCTGGTGGTTTCAGAATCGAGTCGAACAACATCACCTGCCCCGTTTTTAGAGTTTTTGATCCGCTTTAGGAATGAATGGCTTGTTTAAAAAAGAAAAGAGTTGAAGGGAGAAAATGGAAAGAGAAGGGCTCCAGTGGGATTGCTCTTCTCTAGATTATCACTGACAATGGTGCTATTGTTTATGTTCTTTGTGTTTATTTTGTGTCTGTTTTCTCGTTACGGTTTTGGCGAGATCCATTCTCGGCTACCTCGGAGAGTGCCACCCCCTTTGGATAGCACTGCACCGCTTACACACACACACCAGGGTCTGCTTCAGATGAGTCAGTTCAGACAGTAAAGTCAAACACTGCTTTTTAAGAATAGAAAAACTTGGCTGAATCTAAGGTGTTAGCATTATTTTCTGGACTGATCAAACTGAAGTAGATGATTTTGACATCGTTAGACACTTTTAGTGAAACAGCCACAACCACTTTCACTGCGGTTATGTTACAAATTATTTTAAAGATGTCACCCTCTGAAAACATACAGGTGGTTTTGCATTTTTAGTTATCATTTCATTACTATGCTCAGATTTGAGACCTACTTGAGGCGAAGTGAAGCATCATAGTGAACAATTAGTGCGTTATTTTGTCTTTTGAAAGATGCCTTATTGTTGTTCTTTATGTCCGTCTTCGTGCATGTAAGGAGAAGTGTCCAAAAGTATCCGAGATGTGAAAATCACCTGCTGAAGTGCAACTTTTTCAAGCCAATTTACAGTATTTACTCCATTTTGTGTGCACAAAACGCAATTAAGAGAAATGATCAATAATAAAATGTGCTGTTTTTTAAAGAGAAAAGCTGCAAAATGTGTAAACACTGAGGGAGGAAAGAGAAAGAAAGAAAAGCAAGCAGCAAAACACACTACCTGCTCAGTCAGTACTTTATATTTTAAAAGACCAACAGCAATTTTTCTATATAATGTCAATGTTTGCTCATTATTCTACTTCAGGATTTCATTTCAACGTAGAAAATAACATTTTCAGGTGTCGACTGTCATATTACAGATATTGCAGCTTCAAAGTAAGAGTTCACGGAGCAGTTGCTGCTTTTAATGAAAACATACACAACAAAAAAGGCAACTAAAAGTTTGTTTTAATGGATTTTTATTGATTAAAGCAGGTTACTCTTACAAGTTGATCTTCATAGATTATCTTAAACCAATGATGGCCTTGAATTTAGGACATTTATCTAAAGCATGTAAAGTATGATGAGCAAGGAAGTTCATTCTTGACCCAGGAAATAGTAGTTTGACAAAATAAGAGCTTTTATTATGGTTTTATGGGTAAAGTCCATCTGCTAAAGTTAATAATATTTTGTCAAACTTAAAGAAACAAAGAAGAAAAAACATGCAAAATTACCATCGCAGTGCATTAACTTTACTATGCTTTTGTCATGTTACACATACCTGTTATTTCTGTATTTATCACGTTCATATATAACTCTATGGTGCTACAATACCCAAGTTGAACTGAAAGGCAACTTTTAAAATAAGTTCTTATTAAACTGCATGCATTAAAACGGCTCACCAGCACTTTTCCTCTTAAAAACAGAACCTCCGCAACAGCTGACTGTCGTAATGAATGACTTGAATGAGGCCACCCATTCATATATATATTGCACTGATGTGAACTCATATACAATAAACAAGTCAAATCAGCAGGCATATATTTACTCTACATCTCCATCTTTACAGGCTTTTATCTTTATGTTGTGACCAAAGTAGTGTTTTTTTATTAAAATCCCATTAAACCTTTCATTCACACTACATTTTAAAACAGGAAACCAAACACACACTCTCTGATAGATTGTTAATTATTGCTGTACATAGTGCTTCCTGTATTTCCCAGCAAAGTATGTTAGAGCTAAAGTCTATAAAGCTGTTCGCTCTTCATTTTATTTTCTTCTTTTTTTTCCAGTCTATGTGTCGTTTCTCTGTCCTTGGATATGAAAGAGGGGGAAGTTTTCTGCCTGTGAATGTAGATTTTGCAGCCATATTTATGAATACTGAGTTGCAGTAGCCAAAAAAAGACATCTAAGATCAGACTTTATGTTTTTTTACATTGACTTTGGTTTGCAGTGTAAATGAAAAGTGTGGATTAAGTGAAACATTCTCCTCTTTGACGTTATCTTTGGACAGTGAAAGCTACTGGGTGACTTGTAACCACTATGACCACTGTGTCGAGCACATAGCTCTGTCTCTCTGCTGGTAGCCATGATTTTATTACTTTGTCACATTTTACTTTATTTTTTTATTTTATTTTATTTTCTCTCCTTTTTTTTGTCAGCCTTTTGTTGTTTTGTAATCTAGATTGTAATTATTTTACGTAAGTCATGATACTATCCCCTGGTTTTATTTACTGAGATGGGAGGGAATGGGAAGATAATGATGTGTACATTAAATATTATGGAAAAGCCTTTAGGATTATGTTTTTATATGGAAAATATATTCACCACTGATGATTTAACAGGCGTAACAACTGTTTTTATTGTCTGTTTGGTCTTTACCCACGTTCCAAACCAAGAATGAACTGTAAGTGCCTGGAGTGACGGAAAAGAAATGCAGTTTTCCTCAAAGAGGATCCATAACAAGAATTGGAAATAACATGTCTGTTACTGTAATGTGTATTTCTGTGCTCACACACTTTGAAATAAAGTCTCTAAACTAACTGAGAATTTCTAATGCAGAATTATTGCTCATAAAACAACAAGGGAAGGCCAGTTGTTGCTGTTTTTACATGTAAACTCCACTGAGAATATTACATGTTTTGTTTTGCTTTATTCAGTGTAAAGATAATGTTTGAGATCAGATTGCTGTGTGCTTGGCAAATTAAAAACATCCACACCTTGTAACTTGACACCAATTTTATTGCTGTACAACCAGGCAGTGGCATAATGTCCGTTATTACCACGTTGTGGGATATAATGATGCACACCACATGTAATTGGTTAATTTCATGAATCTTGCAAGGCTGGAAAACTTCCACAATGTCATTTTAAAGCTTAAATTCTTTGCTTTTACATGACAACTGATTTATTTATTTCTTTTTAGAAAACAAAAGACAGAATTATAGGATTATCTTACACTAGTGTCTCACTTTGATAAAAAAAAAAAGACCCAAGCATGGTGAAACGTTTGTATACTGTGCTTGTCGCCAACATATTAAACATAATTCAATATAAATAAAACATTCAATACGTGTCATAATGTCTGATGTTTTAACATAATCTAATGTTTTATACCAAACATACTGTCAAATTGTGGTGTCCTGGTTGAGGTTTGGTATCATTAAATTGAATAAATTGGGTGATATATGTGCATAAAGACCAATCATATGTCAAAATATTGCTCAAATTGGCTGAATTATAAACCCCAGAAGTGGTACTAGCGGTACACTGAGCCTATCCAACAGTATATGTAAATGTAAATGTAAACCAGTCTTTATTGTCATTACACAGTATATACAGCATTTACAGCATTTTACATACATGAAACTAAATTTGCCTGCATTTGACCCTTTATACGGTAGAGGGAGTGAGCAGCCGTAGGCGCCCGGGGAGAAGTTAGGGGTTAGGTGCCTTGCTCACAGACACTGTCAGTGTACAGTACCTCTCGCCTCTCCAGCTGCCAGTCATACCACTACATACTGTGATCCAAACTGGACTTGAACCAGCAACCCTCCGGTTCCCAAGTCAAGTCCCTACAGACTGAGCTACTGCAGCTGAAATGCTTAGTGGATTAATCAATTAGAAAATTACAGTACTCGCCAACTCGTCTGATAAGTATAGGAGCATTTATTAATTTTACTTTTAATCATTTGAATATAACTTTATTTTCTTTTTGGGGGGGTCTAGGAGAACCTGCGATTGGTATTTTTTATCATTTGTACAAAGAAAACAAGCAATCCGCAGATGAATCCACATTTTAATAATTCATACAATTAGTTGCACAAGACAGTTGAAAATGAGCTCCACCTCAACAGCAACAGCAGTAAAATCCTGCTTTTACATTAATGCATGAGTCCTAATGATTTATCTAAAAGTAGGAACAGTCTCAGGGCACTATTTTTTCCTGCCCTGCTTTGAACGACCTCCACCACTAGATGGAGACAGCAGAGTTAATGTGGCTTTTAAAGGAAAAAGGAAGTCAGCCATCAAAACAACAACAGATAGCTCGAAAGCAAAAAGGCGAAGTTTAATTTTTTTCTTCTGGTTTGGGACAAATTAACAGGTGAGTTTAACCCCTCCCAGCCACCGAAGCGTCTCCACTACGAGTTAATTTCATGCTCGTGTTTGTATAATTGTTAAATAACCTTTAAATCTGTTTCAGCTTCTGTGTAGAAACACGCTAGCTCCGTTAGCTCCTTCTGGGTAGCATCCATTACTAATGTTTTATTCTGCAGCAGTGAGTGAAAGTCGCTGCATGCAAACATCAACCAGGCGAATATGAAGATGAATAACAGTGTTGTGGTTAAACGTAGCTGCAGTCTTCATCCCTGCAAGGTTACTTAATGCTGCAGTTAGCTCTTGTAACGTTAGCCACACTAACATTTGCCAAAAGGGGATTTCTTGACATGTTTTTTTGCAACTTAACCTGGAATTAAATGACACTTTTAGGTTGCTGCGTGCAGGTTTGAGGCGTTTACGGGCAGCTAATGTAAAAAGGAATTCCTGGTGATGAAAGTAGAAGGATAGTCTGTGAGAATAGTGAAATTGCTTAGATAGAAGTGATAAACCACGTGCAATGTTTTACTGTCGTTACGCCAAAGAGGAGTTAGAAAATGCACAGATAAGTCTTGAGTGAATTCAGATCATAACTGTGTCATGTCCTGCTCAACAGAAGAAGGTCAGAGTTCATCCACAGAACAACAGACAGACAGACAGATTTAACACACAAATCTGCATCGGCTGAGGTTTTTCTCTCATGTTGCACTACGACTTTTACTGTTTACGGTAGACTTTGTGGCAGATTAACACATGAATCATCTGCAGCTGTTAAAAAAATGTAACAGATTAACACTTAAAGCTCCGGTGTGTAACATTTAGGAGGACCTATTGGCAGAAATGGAATATAATATTCATAGGTATGTGTATAACCACCTGAATGTAGGAATATTTGTGATTTTGTTACCTCACAATGAGCTGTCTTTATCTACAGATCGAGTGCCAACAGGTTTCCACATCTTTCTGCGTGGACGGGTCAAAAACTGGCTCTAGACGGGACCTTTCATGTTCTTTTTTTGGTTTTTTTCCCCAGCCGTGTTAGTGTCTCCTTCATACTTCACAGCTGCTTTTCATTCCCAGGTCGTCACATAGGGATTAAAACTATGTTCAGCTAGTTTCTATCTAAAACTTAACAGGTAGTTGCTATTTAAAACTACACTGTTAGTTTCTATCTGAAGCGACATTGCGAGTTGCCGCGAAATCCTATAGTCCTTTAATACAATATTTGGTCAAAAATATGTGGACACCCCCTGTATTGGCACACCAGAGACAGATCGAGCCCACGAACCTGCGCCGCCTTCTTCAAAAGGGACGGTTGAGCCTCACAGAGACCAAAACTGTCCACACATGTTATATGAACCCGGGAAGGCTGTGTGTCTAAAGCAGGGCTGTCCAAAGCTGTCCCTGCATGCCAAAGTTGGTCAGGTTTTATAAATATTTGTTAGGAGTTGTGACTGCGTTGTTTGCTTCTGGACTGTGGCCCAAAATGAGGTTTTAGTTTTGGCCATTGAAGGGAAAAACATTTGGGCGCCCTCGGTCAAAAGGGTTTGTCCCAATTCACTCACTGAACCACTCTGGAACCTTTTTGTGTCGTAATCCTGAACTTCCTTAATCCTAGTTAGACCTCACTGTTTTATCACGCTCCATTTAACTGTCAATACACTGCATACTTACTGTGGAACCTTGTCATGAGCTGTTTTTCATGTACATTTATTTTCATTTCTCTCAGACAGTAAGAAAAGTGGGAGTCATTTTAAGGCAGTTTTTTTTCTTACCGAAATGTATATTTAAGAAACACTCGTGTCACGTATTTGTTCTTCTGTGAGGTTTCTTCCATTTGTTTTCCCTGTTAAAAAAAGGTTGTAGCTTTTCCAAATCAAGGGTCTAAGGACAGAGGGTGTTGTCATTTGCCCCCCCCGAGGCAAATAATGGTTTGTGATTTCAGGCTGTAAAGATAAACTGACAGGCTTATCTTTGAGCTGCCTTCCAGTATTCTAGTTTGTAGTTCTTAGATGTATTGCTCCATATCCACAAAAGCCAGTGACAGCACTGTCAACTGTACTCATTAATGTATGACCACGATATACTTGATTATTCTCCCCAAAATGTCCTGTTAACATCTCCTGGAAAACCTGGACATTTAGAGACTTGTTTTCTCGTCATGGAAACACCTGGAAATGTATTCAAACGTAAAAAAAAACGTAGCCCTGGAAAATAGTAATTTGAGTCACTCCGTAAACGTTATGTAGGTGATCTGATTATTAGGTTTTGAGGGAAACTCTAGTCAAAGCACTTGAGAATGAAAGTGAGCTAACTCGTAAACGCTGACCACCTACCCGTAGTGAACCTGCATATCTTCATCACGAACCCTGCGTCGTTAAAAAAGGAGGAATCGAACTTGTGGAACTATGTAAACTAGGCCTATCTGTAAATTATATGACTATTTGTGAGCAGCTGTTTGTCCTGTATCGTCAAGGAAACTCCTGGAAAATGTCCCGGAAATGATATCTTTAAAAGAGCGGGAACCCCGAGTCCCCGTTCTTCTCCCGTTCTTCGAAACCTATCTCCCGTTTTTCCCCTCTGCAGGTACGCTGGAATTTTCTGATACCCACTCGGACATGTCCTATGTCTTCATCAACGACTCGTCGCAGACCAACGTGCCTCTGCTACAGGCCTGCATCGACGGGGACCTGCCCTTCGCCAAGAGGCTCCTCGAGACCGGATGCGACCCCAACATCCGCGACAACCGGGGCCGCACCGGCCTGCACCTAGCCGCCGCCCGAGGGAACGTGGACATATGCCGCCTCCTGCACAAGTTCGGGGCCGATCTGTTGGCGACCGATTATCAAGGAAACACAGCGCTGCATCTGTGTGGCCACGTGGATACTATACAGTTCCTGGTTTCCAACGGGCTCAAGATTGACATCTGGTAAGATATTTAATGCCTGATTTTGTAGATGTATTATCTCATATTTTTTTTTTACTTTTTTTAAGTAAATCTGTAAATCTCTTTGTAAATTTGTCGAGGCTACAAACTGAAGCACTGTGCCTTAGATCCACGGTTTGTAGGTAACGATTGATGAGAGCTAGGTAAAAAGAAAAATCTGAGCTAAACTGATTGTTGAAGCGTCCTGGTTATGATTTGAACCTGTAAAAACTATATTCTGGTTTAAGAAACCTTCGGTATTCCACACAGTCAGAGTTTGTTTTGGCATCATGTCCCTTTCCCTCACTGGCTTTAAAGAATTTCCAGCTGCCTCGACATCTACCCAGTCATTGTACCAATACAATAAGATGTTCGGTGTTTCCAGTCCACATTTTGGCTTGAACTTGTTCCAACCGGTTGGAGCTCACTTTGCTGTTATTTGGAGAGTCTGGAAGTATCTCAAGGCTTTGTAATATGAACTCGCTCGTCATTAAATGCATCCCCTGCAAATCTAGTGACACATCTGCGTACATTCCAGCCTCTCTCTCTCTCTCTCTCTCTTTGTGAGGTCCTAGAGTACTAAAGGCTGCGGCGTGTTCTTTTTATTGATTTTATTGAAGCTCTATTTAGACCTGTACCAGGGGGTCTCGCTTTCAAGAAAGAAGCAGCAACCATCCAACACATAGTTACAGACGGACCGGAGGACGTTCGGTACAGAGACAAATGCAAACACATGTTTCTGAGAAATCAGGTGTGGGTGAATAGAGTGAGCAGTTAACAACATAGAAGATACAAGAAACAAGTGGAACAGTAGAGGAGAAGGGGTTGGGTTATGCTTTCATAAAGCAGCAGCAGAAAGAGCTTTAGGTGTGCGGATGGCAGCGTCGGTCAATGTCGGTGGTGTGTGTTTCAAAGCTCCCTTTATCGTCCAGCGGGAGTCTGAGATGTTTGAAGCACTGCACCATGTCAGCAGCTTTTGTTATCGATGCACCACGGTGTGAAGGGGGAGAATAGTATTTGTATGTGGTGATGGGTGGGAGGCAGATACAGTTATTGTACTCAGGATTGAGGTGACGATAGTTATCAGATAACCGACCGCTATTACTCAGCTCTGTACTGAACGTTCCTCTAACTGAGAATAAGTGGCCGAGAGCAGACAATCGGAAACCTCCTGACATTTAAGAATAAAACAACAAAAGAACAATGACATTATATGTTGAAAAGCAAAGACTACAGAAATCTGCATCTATCCTTCCGCTTTTCACGTTTCACGTAGGTTTTTGTCTTCACAGTTTTAGCTTTAAGGCCGAAGTATGCTTGCGTGGACATTGTTCGCCTCCTGACACTGTACGTCAAGGGAATGACGTCAGATCCGCTGTGACGTCACGTGTGATCGCGCGACAGGTTGGCAGTGGCGAGTCTACAAGACGCTTTACACGGTACACTACAACCCACACAGTCTGCAATAGGAAGTAGCGTGCTTGCAGGTGGTGGCTTTTTGCAAATTTGGTGACATCAGGTCGTTTTTTTTTTTTCCTTTCTTCTTAGACCGTCAGTTCACATGAGGAAAAACTTGAGTGGAAAAAGAAAGAAACCTCAGGAGGATTTGTAAGGAGGGCTGTGTGCTCATTTTAGTCGTGCGAGAATGTATGAGTAGTATGATTCTCTCTCTAATAGTTACAAACGCAGAGAGGCATTGTGTTTCATGAATGTATAATAATAATATCAACCAGATTGGATTCTGCTGAAGCGTGGTTAAATGTGTCACCGCGCGCTGCAGTGAACTGCGTAATAGCTCTGACTGTTCAAGCATGAAATATCATGAACTTGTTTTGCTAAATGAAACTCTGGATGAAATAAAAAACAGTCACCTGTTGGATCAAATGATCATACGGTTACACTGACCTGTGATAACTGTTGAATAAATAAAAATACATCACATTTTAGTGTGATATATCCTTGGTCATACTAATTCCCACAGATTAGTAAAAGTGGTTATTCATTTCATTTCATTTGAGCCCACGTTTCACACTGTTAAATCGGGGTTAAAGGTTCTCTGATAAATCTTTTTTACAGGACGGAGAGTCAATGTGAATGGCCTTCTTATGCCACCGACATTGTTGTTGCAGTCAGGAAATATTTGGTTCATTCCAGGAGTTGTTATCATGGAGAACTTACTTCCCTGGTTAAGCATAGTCACCAAACAATAAAGATTAGACATATCGCAGCAGACAGCAATACATTTCGATCCCTTGAGAGAGCGCAGAGGAAAGGAAGCGACACTTTCAAACGTTTCCCACAGCGCTCAAAACGCAACCACACTTCGCACTTCGAGTCCTCTCAGAAAACGCCACAGATTTCACAGTTGTTTTGTAATAAGCTGTCATATTAAAACAAAAAAAAAATAACAAAAATAAAGTTTCTTTTTATACTGCTGTAGGTAAGTAACAAAAATTTGAGAACAGGAATCAGGGATC